AAGCATACGTGGCAACTACGTGATGGACTTGTCAGACGGTTGAGGGTTTATGGTTTAGGTGTGTGGGACAGTGCAAACGGCGAAAGCACGGCAGCAAGGGACCGGCAAAGTCCCTGCGCCGGGTTCCTTTGGTCAGCAGCGCCTTTACTGCAATGACTAAGCATACGTGGCAATGAACGGCAAGCAGGGGACAGGCAAGATCCCTGCGCCAGAGAAGTTCAGCAGCGGCTACACATAATCGATTCAATTTCAGTGTGACAGCAAGAGCCAACGGAAGGAGCAGGTCGGGCCGTGAGGCGCGGTGCCCCAGGGCACCACAGACCCCCAACTCACCCTCCCCCGCAGCGTTCCCCCGACAGCACAAACTGCCATTTGTTGGATAGAATGACTGGATTCAATTTCAGTGTGACAGCAAGAGCCAACGGAAGCAGCAGGTCGGGCCGTGAGGCGCGGTGCCCCATGGCACCACAAACCCCCAACTCACCCTCCCCCAGCAACGTTCCACCGACAGCACAAACTGCCATTTCTTGGATAGAATGACTGGATTCAATTTCAGTGTGACAGCAAGAGCCAACGGAAGCAGCAGGTCGGGCCGTGAGGCGCGGTGCCCGAGGGCACCACAGACCCCCAACTCACCCTCCCCCAGCAGCGTTCCCCCGACAGCACAAACTGCCATTTGCTGGATAGAATGACTGGATTCCATTTCAGTGTGACAGCAAGAGCCAACGGAAGCAGCAGGTCGGGCCGTGAGGCGCGGTGCCCCATGGCACCACAGACCCCCAACTCACCCTCCCCCAGCAACGTTCCACCGACAGCACAAACTGCCATTTGTTGGATAGAATGACTGGATTGTTTAGTGTGACAGCAAGAGCCAACGGAAGCAGCAGGTCGGGCCGTGAGGCGCGGTGCCCCATGGCACCACAGACCCCCAACTCACCCTCCCCCAGCAACGTTCCACCGACAGCACAAACTGCCATTTGTTGGATAGAATGACTGGATTCAATTTAGTGTGACAGCAAGAGCCAACGGAAGCAGCAGGTCGGGCCGTGAGGCGCGGTGCCCCAGGGCACCACAGACCCCCAACTCACCCTCCCCCAGCAACGTTCCACCGACAGCACAAACTGCCATTTGTTGGATAGAATGAAAAGATTGTGATAGTGTGACAGCAAGAGCCAACGGAAGCAGCAGGTCGGGCCGTGAGGCGCGGTGCCCCAGGGCACCACAGACCCCCAACTCACCCTCCCCCAGCAGCGTTCCACCGACAGCACAAACTGCCATTTCTTGGATAGAATGACTGGATTGAGTTAGTGGAAGCAGCAGCGGCAAGGCCCAAGGCAGCAACAGCCGCGCGCCTCGAGACCGCGAGCAGAAACAGCAGCGGCAAGGCCCAAGGCAAAAACGGTGTACACCGGAGGGCGATGTAACCTACATCCCGGTGAAAGCGTTCGGCGCCGGCATCATCAGCACCGCCTATGGATCGCCGTGCGACTTCGGGTCGCTGCAGAAGCAAACGTCGACGCCGTGATATACTGTGATACATATATATATATATATATATATATATATGTTTGTATACATTTATGGGTGGTTGCCGTACTATATTAAATACCAAAAAGGGACTATGTTTCTCTCTACAAATATAGTTCTAGAAAAGTACTGTATGCATGCGCATGGCAAAAACAAGAATAACATGTGCGTGCTCATGACTGACCCAAAAGAAAAACTGCCTCGAGAAACAATTGATTTGATGCATTTGAAAGTGGTGGTTCGTGCTGGACTGGAAAAGTTTCCAACTTTCTTGCTGGCATGGGAAAGTTTCCAACTTTTCTTGCTTGAAAAGACAGGAAGCACTACACGCACAAAAATGAAGAAGCAATGGTCGGAAACCAAAACCTTTCTGGAACATTAAGAACAAGGAAGGGAAAGCCGAACACATGAGAAACGGTTGGACCCAAAAACTTCACAGAGCTGGAACATCGAAAAAAAGGTCGAACACGGGAAGGACGCAGAACAGCAAAATTGAAATAATCGAAAACACCAAAACTTCACGGACGAGGCTGGGACATCAACAAAAGGAAATTGAGAGTCGAACACACGAACAAAGGATGAACAGCCAAAAATTTTGAAAGAAAAAGGTTTGAGCAGCAAAAGTTCACGAAGGAGGCTAGAACTTCAACAGAAAGGAAACCGAAAGTCGAACCCACCAAAAGGAAAGATACAGCAAAAATTTTGAAAGAAATGGTATGAACACCAAAAGTTGACAAAGAAGGCAAAAACTTCAAACAGAAAGGAAAGCGAGGGTCGAACCCACGAAAGGAGGGAGAACAGCAAAAATTTTGAAAGAAATGGTTTGGACACCATAAATTGACAAAGGAGGCAAGAACTTCAGCAAAAAGGAAACCGAGAGTCGAACCCACGAAAAAGAGAGATGACAGCAAAAATTTTGAAAGAAATGGTTTGAACACCAAAAGTCACAAAGAAGGCTGGAGCTTCAACAAAAAGGAAAGCGAGAGTCAAACCCACGAAAAAGAGGGAGAACAGCAAAAATTTTGAAAGAAATGGTTCGAACACCAAAATTACAGAGAAGGCAAGAAGTTCACCAAAAAAGGAAACCGAGAGTCGAACCCACGAAAAGGAAGGAGAACAGCAAAAATTTTGAAAGAAATGGTTTGGACACCAAAAATTGACAAAGGAGTCAGCAGAAAGGAAAACGAGAGCGAACCCACAAAAAGGAGGGAGAACAGCAAAAATTTTGAAAGAAATGGTTTGGACACGAAAAATTGACAAAGGAGGCAGCAGAAAGGAAAAGGAAAGTCAACCCACGAAAAGGAGGGAGAACAGCCAAAATTTTGAAAGAAAGGTTTGGACACGAAAAGTTCACAAGGAGACAAATGTTTCCGAAAAGGAAAGGGAAAGTCGAACCCAAGAAGGGAGAACAGCCAAAATATTGAAAGAAATGGTTTGAACACCAAAATTATAGAGGAGGCTTCCAAGCAACAATTTTGAAAGTTGGAAACTTTCAAGTTTCCAACTTTGGGTGTGCAAACGGAAAGTTGGAAACATGCAAGCGCGCGCGCGCGCACGCGCGTGAGGAAAGTGCTGCATCAGCTCAAAAGGAAAGTGGGTCACCTCTTTCAATTTGGTCTTCTGGTTTGGGAAGTGCTTCCTTTCATTTTTTGGCCTGTTCCCACTCAGTTTGGTGTGCCCGTCCTTCCTTTCAAATTTTGGTCTGTCCCCACTCACTTTGGTATATTCCTCCTTCCTTTCATTTTTTGGCCTGTTCCCACTCAGTTTGGTGTGCCCGCCCTTCCTTTCAAATTTTGGTCTGTTTCCACTCAGTTTGGTGTGTCCGCCCTTTCTTTCAAATTTTGACCTGTTCCACTCAGTTTCCACCCAGTTTGGTGTGCCCGCCCCTTCCTTTCAAATTTTGGCCTGTTTCCACTCAGTTTGGTGTGTTCCTCCTTCCTTTCATTTTTTGGCCTGTTCCCACTCAGTTTGGTGTGTTCCTCCTTCCTTTCATTTTTTGGCCTGTTCCCACTCAGTTTGGTGTGTTCCTCCTTCCTTTCATTTTTTGGCCTGTTCCCACTCAGTTTGGTGTGCCCGCCCTTCCTTTCAAATTTTGGTCTGTCTTCACTCAGTTTGGTGTGCCCGCCCTTTCTTTCAAATTTTGGACTGTTCCCACTCAGTTTGGTGTGCCCGCCCTTCCTTTCAAATTTTGGCCTGTTTCCACTCAGTTTGGTGTGCCCGCGCTTTCTTTCAAATTTTGGCCTGTTCCCACTCAGTTTGGTGTGCCCGCCCTTCCTTTCAAATTTTGGTCTGTTTCCACTCAGTTTGGTGTGCCTGCCCTTCCTTTCAAATTTTGGCCTGTTCCCACTCAGTTTGGTGTGTTCCTCCTTCCTTTCATTTTTTGGCCTGTTCCCACTCAGTTTGGTGTGTTCCTCCTTCCTTTCATTTTTTGGCCTGTTCCCACTCAGTTTGGTGTGTTCCTCCTTCCTTTCATTTTTTGGCCTGTTCCCACTCAGTTTGGTGTGTTCCCCTTCCTTTCATTTTTTGGCCTGTTCCCACTCAGTTTGGTGTGCCCGCCCTTCCTTTCAAATTTTGGTCTGTCCCCACTCAGTTTGGTGTGCCCGCCCTTTCTTTCAAATTTTGGACTGTTCCCACTCAGTTTGGTGTGCCCGCCCTTCCTTTCAAATTTTGGCCTGTTTCCACTCAGTTTGGTGTGCCCGCGCTTTCTTTCAAATTTTGGCCTGTTCCCACTCAGTTTGGTGTGCCCGCCCTTCCTTTCAAATTTTGGTCTGTTTCCACTCAGTTTGGTGTGCCCGCCCAATGTGGGCTTGCCTTCACATCTGGCAATGAACGCCAATCTCAGTTTGGAACCCTTGCTGCACTTTGAACTCTCTGACATTTTGATTCATGTGCAAGTGACAAGGATGCAAAATGCAAAGAGGGTGCAAGATGGAAGTTTCCAACTTTTTGGTTGCGCTCGAACATGGAAATTTGCAAAGTTGGAAATTTGGGTTTTAGCCTGTCTCAAGAAGTGCTGGAAGTAGGCCAAGAGGTTTCCAACTTTTTGGCGTTGACCATAATGTAGATGCCTAAGTAATCACGATGATTCCTTAGGGCTCCTTACGATAATCATGCTAGAAACACGCCCCAGAAACCTTCCACCTAGGTGAGCCTAGCCTGAGATCGTAAATCTCCCATAAGAGCCGCGCTAGCCTTTCACCCTCAGCACAAAACCAAGAAAGAAATGTAACCCCTGCTTCAGCAATGAAGATAATTAGTGAAGGGAAGCCGCCCCAAACACAAAAGGATTCGAAACCCTGAGCTCAGAACCCGGTTAGCCCAGACCCCTGAAATCTTACATCCTGATTTCTACAACGCTGAACCCCAAACCCAACCCTAAGCCTTAAACTCGACCCCCCAAAGCTCCACGGGTTTAGGGTTTAGGGTTTAGGGTTTGAAACTCCTGCAAAGGAAAGAAAACGTGTGCTTTTGAGGTCTTCCCCACCGCAGACCGATCCTGCCACGGTAACACCGCCTCTGGAGGCTTTATAGATCGGGGGAATGGGGTCCCAACAGGGGTTGACCTTGGGGGCCGCGAGTTTTTGATCTCAGGAGTGGGTCATAGCCTCGCGTAGCTTCAAATTGTTTGTTGGGGGGATACTGATACTGATTTTCCTGGGCTCAATATTCGGGTCGGCCTTCTATTCGGCTGCAAAGATCAACGAGATCTTAGTAGTTGAGTTGGTAATCTTGAGCCTTTTTTTTTTAGTGGGGGGGGGGTTATATGACATCGTGCAGATTCCCAACAAGACTGACAGTGTTGCTTTGAAGGGAGGGGTCGGGTGAACTTGAAATCCTACAAGGGATGAGAGACGGGGGTTTAGGGACATGTCTACTCTCCTGGAGATGCTTGTTCTGGTTCGACCTATACCTTCAACTCTAAAGCCCTGACGAGGCGTCTTCTGCTTTGCGTTTGTGTTGTTTTCGGTTTGGGGTTTAGGGCGGGGGTGTCACCGGGCTGCTGGACAACGAGGCCTGCTGCAAAAGGGCGGGGGTGTAGAGTAGGCACCAGTGGACCAGTAAGGGTACATTGGGTTTTCGGTCGAACTGTTGATGGCTTTGCTTATGACTTCGGTTTCGAGGCTCGTGGAGCTAAACGGAGAGCCCGAACAGCTGCAGGTCCTCATCTATAGTCCCCTTAGGAATTATTTTTGTTCACATAAAACCCAAGAGAATATTTAAGAACATAGTTTTTTATTATGGTTCTAAGCGGGGTATAGTAATTCCTAAACCCTATGCAAGGACCCTTCACTCTACGCCCTGAATGTCCACGCAAGCTCTCCCGTAGGTGAAGGGAGATTTGGATGGCACGCCACTGGTCGAATCACTTCGAATCACTATGGCATCCCGGCATGAGTGCCCTGAGCCTTAAAAACCCTGATCCTAAACCCTATAAACCCTTCACCCCTAAACCCTTGTGAGAACCCTAAACCCCTAAACGTCCGTGCTTGGAGGCCCCCCAAACCCTCCTCTATTTATTCAGGCCCCTACATTAACTAGGATGCCCAGTAGTACCCTTATTCCCTTTTTGTAGTCCTAGGTTCCTTATAAAGTTACCCAATACCAAAAAGAGAGGCCTTTTTGTTCTTAGGTTACTGGGTATCCTAGTTAAATTGTGCCGTGGGTTTTCGGTGAACTCTGAAGGCTCCATTCGGGGCTTCTCTGACAGGTTGATGTTGGGTGCTGCCCGCGCAGTTCCGCAAACAGCGTGTTGGCAAAACGGCCCACCCGGTAACAGTTGGATAATATTCATAATATAAATGATATAAGTATATATACATATATATATATATAGATAGGACCTTCATAGTAGCCCTATTTTGGACTACGGATGCATGCACAGACAGACACGCTGCAACCCTTACAGTGACCCTGTCAGAAACCCTCAGCAACCCTTATACTTACACGACAGTATTTGACCCTCCTACTAGACACCCCGTCGTAATCCCCATAAGCTTTGAAAAGGATACATGCTGAGTTGAATCCTGCCTCTAAAAAGATACCGCAACCAGCGGCCCTAAAGCATAAACCAAACTGCTAAGGGTCGCTTCTGGGCACATACTGAGGCCTACATCCAGCTGTGGTTGCATGAGCTGCACCCTCCGATCTACCAGGCAGTCCTTTCGCAAAGCTGCGCTCGGTCCCGCGTTACAGCTGCCCGCCCTAAATAGGGTTCAGGGTTGAACCCAAACCCGTCTTTGGCAGAGTTTCGCGAGAAGGCTAGCAGAAGAAGCACAGATAGTTTCGCTAGAAGCATGCCCAAACATACTCCGAGTACAAACCCATCAAAGGTGTGGGGTTACATGGCTACACCCGGCACGTATAACCTTTACAAAACCTTACAAAACCGTGTGCAATGCTCTCAAGACAAAGTTCGTGTTTGGGAAATATCAAACAAAAGCGATCCTTTCAGCAACAGGCCGTGGATCGCCGAAGCGATCGGCTTCAGCAGTGGAGCATTCGCGAGGCAGAGGCGAGCCAGATCTGTTTTTGTAGGGCGTTATGCGGGGTTTAAGCTCGAGGCTTTTGGTTTACATGTGTCGCGCATGAAGGCTTTTTATGTCGTTAAAGATTTACCAAGGGTTTCATAGGTTTTGTAGGGCTTTATCCCGACGCTCGAGGGGCCTGAACATTTGGATCTTTGGTTAACTCTCATTTGTTCGAGAGTGTTTTATGACTCGGGGAGCTGCAGTTCGAGTTCCAGAGCTTGGGGCATACATATAGGGCTTGACCATAAGGCAATTTAGCGTTTAGCCTTTGGGTCCATGTTGCAAGGCTGCAGCGGTGGGGCCAGAAGACCACGCAATTTCGGTTTGGCGGATGCTTCGGCCTTCAGAATCCTTTACACTCTTGCAGAAGCAGTGTGCATGTCTATTTGTATAAATACTGTGTTTGTTTATTTATCTGTTTTCATGCCGTGCATATATGGATGTAGGTATATGTGTATGTATGTATGGATGTATGTATACTTATTATGTATACCACCCAATCTTTGTATGTATGTTCATGCGTTTCTTTAGTATTCGTGTTTAGATTTATTTACTTTTTCTCCAGTCAATGCATAAACCATGTACATGTACGTACATATATATATACACATGCATAGAGGCCTGACTGTTAACAGTATCCCCCTACGGAGTACAATCAGCATATACCCCCAAACCCTATTCGATTAACTAGTCGTCCCTTTTATCGGAGTCTTGATCATCATGTGAGTTTGGTGATCAGGGTCTCTGAATTGATTGATTTCTGAACCCATGGAAGCCATGTTAGTGGCTGAGTACGTAAATTTGTATATAACTCTTGTCGATGATATATCCATAACAAAAGCAGAAGACATGCGTCAGGAAGGTGACGCCAAGGATCTCAGCAGCTAGGGTGAGCAATTCAAGGCTCAGGTCATTGAAATGCACAGACAGTAGACACACTACGCCGATGTAAGGATGTGATTGCAAGCCTGTCAGCCTTGCAGGAGTCAGAGAAGCCCTCGAGCCCCATTATTCTTTCATCCCTGTGGCCTCCTTGAAGCCTAGAGATTGCATCCTAAAACCAGTCCTTGAGCCCTTTCAGCCCAACTTACGAAACACAAACCCACAGGGCGAAAGAAGCAGCTCTAAGCCCTTTCTAGCTGGAAGCTTCAAGCACACAACCTTAACCACCAGCCCCCAAAAAACCCGAAGCTCTGAACCCTACACTCTTAACCCTATAAGCTCTAGATGCTCAAGACCAAAAACCCCAACCTCAAAACCCTAACGTCTCAGTGCCCTTCCGTCCGATTGCCCTTCAGGAGCTGGTCCTCGGAGGCCGGCAGCTGGTCGCGCACCTCGCTGCGGCGGCTGGTGTACTCTACGTTTCCTGGTGTGGAACACCAACACCAACAGCGACAACAGCAACAACAACAGCAACAAAATCAACAACAGCAACAGCAACCGCAACAGCAGCATCAACAACAGCAGTACCAACAACAGGAACCATACCAATAGCAACAACGATACCATCAAACGCAACAGCGGCAACAAAGCAAGAGCAACAACTCTACTACTGCAACTACAAGAATAACAAGAAAACTGTACTGCCACGTAGCCAAGTCTAGCAACATATCACCAAGATCAACATCAGGAATAGCAAATCAAAGCAACGTCGGAGAAGCAATAATTAGCACACAGCAGCTCAGTGGTAGCTGCCCCTCTTATCGCCGTAGCAGTTTTGTATGACTGCAAAGGTCCGAACTGGCACCCGCGGCATGCACTTGCAACATCCGCTGGCGTTTTTGATCGGGCCACTTGCTTTCAGATAGGACGTCAAGACAGCTGCGGCCGAGGCTCCTAAAGCTTTCTGCCCCCAAATTATTTGCCGGGGGTGGCACCCACTTTCGGAACTGGAGGAAAGTGCGGACAGGTTGCACGACGAACTGTCTGTAGCATTGCAGCTTGCGTGACTGCTTGCTATCGCTCACTGCTCTGATCTCATGTAAATTTCAGAGCTTGACGTGTCTGGATCGTGATGCCTTGCCCCTCACAGCGAGAATTGGAAGCAGTACGTACATACAGTCCTGAATTCTGGAGACAAGTACCAGCAGAGCCCTCCGAATGCCTAAACCGCTCAAATTCATTCAAAAATTCCCTCACAGCGAGAATTGGAAGCAGTACGTACATACAGTCCTGAATTCTGGAGACAAGTACCAGCAGAGCCCTCCGAATGCCTAAACCGCTCAAATTCATTCAAAAATTGAACCCCGAACCTGGAGACTTCAACCTCTGAAGGGCGGTGCACAATCATTGCAACGATATGAGAGACTTCATCTGTATGTGTATATAGTATGTATGTATGTATATATATATACATATAAGTATCATCATCATCATCATGTTCGTCCTCCGGAGATCAAACCACAACCTACAACCCTAAAGCTTGAACTGCTGGAAAGCCTATAGAGCGCGCCCAAAGTCTCGGTAAGACCCTTTACTCCCTTATAGATCCCTTATAGACTAATAGAAGCCGGATTTTTGCACGTAAAACCAATTTCGTAAACGCTAAACCACAAACCCCAGTCCCTAGACCGCCTAGAGCATATATATACACACGCATATAGAGACCTTGTAAATATCAACCCTTAACCTAAAACGCTAAAGCTTCGAGGAATCCGGCCGTCCTGGGTCTCGGAGACAACCAGGGAGCTGCCACAGCCAAGGCTGGGCGGAGCCTGTTGCTTTTGTTCGGGTTCAAGGCTTTGTAGGGCTTCTGACTGCTTCGTCGCTCATGTCTTCCAGTGGTTGTTAAAACGGCTGTTAAGTATAAGCCTTCAGCTTTAGGGTTGCAGAGAGTTTCATAGGGTGGTTTGGTGCTTTCAGGATATGGGAGTTTCCGAAAATAGGGACTCTAATATGCTACCCTTAATTAATAGTAGGATCCTTATTATAAGGACCCAATAGTAAGGTACCCCTAATCTTCGGAAACTCCCATATGGCTGGCTTCTAAAAGAGACTCGGAGGGGTACTTCAGGGGTTTTAGGGCACTTTGCGTCTTTCTGTGGATTGTTGTTCCTTGCCCATTGTATACATACAGATATAATACAGTTATAGAAATTCATACACACACACACACACGCATCTATCCCCGGGGTTTTATCGTACATGAGCCTTATTGTAGTCCCTGTATAATCCCCAATAATGGTCCGCATAACCCATTCCCCAATTTCCTACCAAGAGCAGTTAACTCTCCCAGGGTTTAGGAGTTTTCCCTTAAGGGTCCACGTGCCCAAATAGGGTTCCTTTACGGGGTGCCTCTAAGGGTTCTACAAAACTATACGGGTACAATAGGGGTTTGGGAGTCAAGCGCACATGTACCCAAATAGTATGTACTTTGGCCGCCAATGTACCTAAATAGGGACTACTTTAAGGTGGCAGGAACCCGCAGGGTTTGACATACCCCAACTCCCCCCAAACGCCATCGTTCCGCAACCTTCAAAACCTTTTGTGGGAGGATCAGGCAAGAGGGGGCCCAAAAAATGTCGGCCTGAACTAGTATAGGGTCATTGGTGTAAGAACCTCAGTAAAGGCTTCCGAATGCGAAATAAGGAGAAGCCCCCAAATCCCTACTCGCCGGAACCCCTAGGCCCGAAAACGCCTTCGCCCTAAATTTCAAGACCCTCAACGCGGCAAAACTAAAACATGAAGAGCCGTTAACATGAAAGCGAGGCTTTGGCCACGGAGATCGCAATTCGCCTCGTGGAAGCTACGCAGCCAGGGAACGCGGCTGTCAACGTGATGCCGCCTCGGTGCGATTTAGGAGCTTGAGGTTGAGGCACGATTTGATTCCGTGTTAGGGTTACTGGAGTAGATTTAAGGGTTTTTGGTTTCATACCGAGAAACAGATAGATGAACTGACAGACTGTTGACAGAATGACACTGTTTGACAGAGACGGCAACTTTGCGGCTTGACTCAAGGCCCACAATTCTGCAGACATGATTTTCAGCAGCAGCTCCCCCTATCTGCATGTGCACTTTGTCGCGCATTCCCGCAATGCGCTGGATGGATGCTCGCTTTGATGTCGAGGTCGAGAACAGGTTAGGCCCGGTGTAACTATACTGAATATGGTTTCTCCTGGGGTGAGCAGACCTCCATGTAGAGCTGAGACGTGAAAACTCGGGGTGGTTTGGTTTGGTTCCATGCAATGTAGAGGTCTGAGACATTAGCAACAGCATCCCTTTGTGGTGCGAGCAAACGCTGTAGTCGACAATTGGACTACTGTCAGGAGGCTCAGTTAAATACTCAAGACTTCAGCTGGTGATAAGTCAAGGTATTTCCTGCATCAAAGCGCTGACACCCTATAAACTTTAGACAATGAGCCCCAACTGCATTCTTTAGCCCGACGCATTGATTGCCGCGCCCTCCACACCGCGATTGTTGTTTTAGCCTGCTGTCGGGCAGAGATTCACTGCTGCTGGTTTGAGATCTAAAGAGCTTGAAATCCACGTTGTGCCTTTCCAAACGTTCGGTAAGAACACCCTAAAATCCCTGTAATTTGAACCTCTTGAAGCGTACTTCAAATGTGTCTTAAGTCTGAGGCGGCAATACGGACTTTGCTCAGAGGCGCCGCCTTCTGCAGTTCAGCTTCCGTGGCTCGCCCTTTTGATCCCAAGAATTCACGGTTTCGGGTTTAGGGTTTAGAGGTAGTATGGTACTTACGGACTTCTGGGTGAAGAAGTCCCGCCGAGATCCCCAATTAAATTCTCATTACGTCTGCCACGTTTTTTTCACGAGGTGCGATCGGGTTTTACAGAAGGGTTGCGCTAGACTCGGATTTCATGGCACTCCTGAAGTAAGGGGTGATTTGGGCTGTTGGGGTGTCCATGTCATTCGTTGCAGAATTGTTTAAGCCCAGCCAGGGTCTAAGGGTTAGGGTTTGGTGTAGGGTAATTAAAGGGGTTATATAGGGTGTAGGCAACCTCAACTCGAATACCTAGACCGAAGCCCTGAAATTGCAGCCCCCCACCCTCCCCCCCTCCGCGCCGGCCGGAGTGGAGATGCAAAATCTCCGCAAATAGATTCCGCTGTCCAGCAGTGTTTGCGCTGCTTGTTTGCAGCACACCCTGATCTAGCAGACCGGCGGGCAGCTCTGCACTCCTGCAACAATAAACAAGGACTCCCAGCCCCGTTCCTAACTCGCAAAGCCTCTCAAAATCGTCAACCCACAGCAAGCTGTGAGCAAAGCCTTGTGCCTAAACCCATGCCAGAAAAGCTGTGCTGTACTCTTGTACCGAAACCTTCAACCCACCCTAAACCCTAAACTCTAGTCTTTGTGAGCCCACCAAACTTCCCCGAAACCTCGAACCTAAGCCTAATCCCTCGAAGCTTCTGCGAGAACCAAAAAACGATAATCTTCAACCCAAAAAGCCTTCCAAAATACGGGGGCCCATACAAGTTGCGCAGTTATTTCACGTGACTGCGACTCTCTCTATCTCGCGCGAACGTCTTCTATATAGTTGTGTGTGCGCACAGCTGTCCAGCAGTCCGATCGTGTTTGTGCGGTTCGAGTTGGGCTGTGTGTCGACAGCTTGTGCAGCCAGTTGACTTCGTTTTCCCACCCGCCCGCCCTAAAAGGAGGGTTGAGTGGGACTGCTGTCCCTGGAGCCTGGAGGCTTCTGCTTAGGCATTCGGATGCACATCGTCCCATCGTTCCAAAAGGCCGCTTGTGTTGAGTGAGTGCGAGATTGTAAAGGTACCTATACCGCGAATGGGCCCCAAAGCCCTATTTTAATTATTAAGACCCCTAGATACTCCCATCCATGCGCCTCTCTCGCTGGTGAACAAGGTGGTGGTTTGGGAAGGCTCCGCTGGCATTGGAGGTGCATGGCGAAAGGTTTGTGGAACGGTTTTTGGTGTTCAGGCTCAGATTGCAAGGGTTTGGGAATTGGTTTTGGTCTTCTTTGTTTTGGGGGTTGCCCTGTGGCATTTTAGGACGATTTAAAGTTCATGTTTGGTCTGATAGGAGTATCCGGTATCCATTCATATAGTTTTCGGGGCCTCTACAGTGCAACTCCGTTTCGGATGCATGACCATTTCAGGTGAGTACCGCGTGTGCTGGTGAGGCATTTCCTGGCTAAGTCCCCAAACCCGAAACAAAGAAACACAGTAGATCACCGATTCAACGCCAAATTCATCCAAACTCTGAATCCCAAACCAGTTCGTACATCCTTCGCTGAGGAGGTGGAGTCCAAGACCGTCGCCAGTAGGCGACCAGCCAAGCCTGGTGAAGCTGAGCGAGGCACCTCCAGAATCTTTTTTGGTTGCCAGTGCTTTCAAGAATGAGTGAGGTTTTGGGGTCTATATATATATATATATATATATATATGGAAACACACACACACACACACACACGTACGTCATGTATGTATGCGTGTATGTATATATGCTAGGTCTTTGAGTACGCTCTTTAAAGTTTGAGTCGAAACCCCACGAAGCAAACCCTAAACCATGAACAAAGCTCCAAAACCCAAGAGAGCGTAAATCCCGAAATCTTCAAAAAAACAAACCTACACCCTGAACTCTACACCCTACACTCTAAACCCCAAACAGAACTCTACCTAGACCCCCCAACTACCCTTTAATATACCCCAACTAATAACTCACAATTCAGGGCCATGAGGACTCTATTAAAGGGCCCTTGGGGAGCCCTAAACCTCTGAACCCTAGCCCCCCTTAAAGGAATTATAGGATCCCCACTTAGAAGGAACCCTAAACCCTAAACCCCTAAATGCTTAAATCCTCAAAAAGAAACCTACACCCTGAACTCGACACCCAACACCCTAAGCCCCCCACTTAAAGGAACCCTAAACCCTAAACCCAAAGGCCCTTGACCCCAAAGGCGCCTTGGAGTCCGAAGCCTTCGCCTTGGGCTCTGGCCCCCCCTCGCCACCGAAGAGTGCCCAGGCCTGGGGATGCAAACTCCAAGCCAGGGCTTAGGGTTTAGGGTTCTAGGGTTTGGGGTTTACGGGTTTAGGGTTTCCTCTGAGTCCGAGAGAGAGAGAGAGAGAGGGTTTAGGGTTTAGGGTTTAGGGTTAGATTTACGATTTGGGGTTTAGGTTTTAGGGTTTAGGTTGCCTGACAGCGACTGAGTGCCCTGGAGAGAGAGAGAGAGAGAGAGGTTTATGGAGCCCGGGCGAGCACTAATCAAGCCTGTGGAAAGGGTCTAGGTTTATAGTAGGTTAGGGCACTGCCACGAGTGCAGCAGCTCTGACATCCGACTTCCAGGCGGGCATATACAAGTCTGTGCATAAAGCTTTATAGTAGGGTGTCGGGTTTAGAGTAGGGTTTCGTGGACTGGAGCATTGAGAATTTGGACGGATTTGTGATAACAGGGTCAGATTTGAATATGGTCTGGCATGTCGAAAGTCTATTCCGATTTAATATTCAAGCCGAAGGTTCTTCCCGATTTAAGACGTTATCGGCGTTTGTGGTCGAGGGGCTTCTGGCCCCTAACCGGTTGTGGTAAGGCATCGCTACGGGGTGCAACGGGAGCTTTAACAAGAGCACGAAAGTTCTAGAAGATCGTTTGGCCCCTGTGTTTCAAGTAAATTAAACTGGTCCAGAAGCTTGTCCCGTTCCATACATCTTAATTCCGAATAGTATTATCTTTAAACCTTAGACCTGTGGCCCCTACCCGGGTACCATAAATGCTACTGTAACCTTTGCTCTGAACCGTAATCCTTGAGAGCCCGTTGCTTCAAGAGGCAGATGCCCAGCGTGCCGATGGCGGTGGGATGGCCTCGGGTCCTGTACGAGGACCGCAGAGGTCTGAAGTTTGAGGCTTCAGACCTAGAGTAGGCCCTTATTCCACTTTTTTGGGTTCATGCTCCCTTATAAGCCCCCTTAAACCAAAAAGGGCACCCTTTTTATTCCTAAGTTACTCTTGAGTCTAGGTGTAAAATAGCTCTGGAGACCTGGTTCTAGCAGGTGTATAGTAGGGCTTGAGGGTAGTGAAGTTTGTAAAACGCTTATTTAGCAAGCCATTTCCGATGGCTGAGCGTGGCGTGGGCCGCCTGTTAGACAGGGTTAAGATGCTGCGTACCTTTGTGCGCAGCAACGAAAGCTTAAGCGATATGCCGGAGGTCTCTTTACCCAGACTGCCTAAGCCGGTCTGAACCATTCACCTCATGCAAACAACACAACATATCTCTGAAATCCACACAGAACGCCCGCACTAATCATTCCCAACCTTTATTCGACGTTCTGGTAGTATACGCTAAACTCTAGAAACCCTTGCAAAACTTGTAAGCTGGTGGTAACTACCCTTGTCTAGGCCCGCGAAAGTTGCCTTCGAAGCCTTAACCCTGAACCCTGACCCCCCAAACCAACGCTACCCCCACCTCCTCCCTAAAAACCAGCAAACGCACGAAGCAAACACAAAAGCCTTCCACTATAGGGGCTAAATTACCGTACCAATACTATTTTGGGGGTTCCTTATAAAACTTATAGAAACATGGTCCCCAAAACGCGATTCTCTATTACAGCACCCTAGCATAAATCCCTTACAGCAAATCCTTTAACGGCAACCCCATTCTGATTTATTTTAAAGCCCCTATATTGCAGGGGAGCATCCCTCTTGCTCCGATGCTGGCGGAAGCCCTGAGCAGCTTGACAACAATTCCGGAGAGCAGAGAGTCTTCGGAAGGGTTATGGGAGTTTCCGAAAATTAGGGGTACCCAAGGGTTCCTTTAAAGTGTTACTATAAGGGTACTATAAGGGCCCCTTTAAAGTCTACAAGTTTTTGTAGGGTTTCCGACAATTGAAGGTACCCGATTTGGGGGTCCTTCTAATAAGGAGCCTATGATTTAGGGTACTATATTAGGGTTCCCTATTTTCGGAAACTCCCGTATGTCGTTTATAGGGCTTAGAGTTTAGGCTCTACTCAATGGTTTCAAGGGGTCGGGGGGTGTTGGTTGTTGTTCCTGTGGTTTCGTGCAACTCCGCGATGAGTCGATACTTGTAATACTTACTGCCTGAGCCCTCCCAGAGACTCCAATATCCCTTAATTAAAGAATATACCTTAAACTATCATAAGATCCTTAATATGATTTAAGGAATATTCCTTAATTAAGGGATATTGGAGTCGCTGAACCTTACTGCCTGAACTCTGGACGTGAAGTGCAGCAGGCTGGGCCTGAGGGCATGTGCACTGCAGCCTTTCCCCCAAAAAAGGTTTGGAGTTTGGGGCCTACGGTTTCAGGGTTAAGTGTTTAGGCAGTCCAGCTTCTAAAGGGTTTACATACGTAGTTCTCCTACGGAACCTTGTAACATCCTGCAACTATGTTCTTGAATATTCTTCAGTGTTAGTCTGGCAGCTTAGATTGCTAGGCAAGCCGTCGGTTACTGTACTAGCTTAGCACAACATAAGCAGAGCTGCATCTCAAGTCAAGCATGACGTTCCCAAATCGCCTGATCCTCCGTTATCACGAATCGCTTCCGTGATATAAAGGCACCCACGGGTGATTCTCCCATGTCGAAAACCCACTCTCCTCATTCTCGAAAAACTCCCACATGGATTTCATCCCTCAAAAAGATCTAGGCCCCAAACTGTGAACCTCGAGCCCCCTAATGTAGGAACCTGATTCAGAAACCTTGGGCCTTTATCAGAGTGCCTTTCATGAATCCTACTACTTTGGGGTTATAGGACCAGGGTTTCTTAATCAGTTTCCTACATGAAACCCTAAACCCTGAACCCAGAGACGAAATCTGCAGCAACAGGTCCGGATCAGATCCTAGCCAGGCCTTGGTGGCTGCACTCCGTGGCGCGCGCCTGGGCTGCCATGGTGTGTTAGGCTGCTCTAAGTCATTATTACTGTCATTTTTTGTTGTGATTACCGTCATTTCTTCTTGTTGTTACCATTGTTGTAATTAGCATGCTTGTCTCGTTTTTGGATTTTTTTGTTGAGTGTTTCTATAACAAACTCTGGGAGCGGCTTGGTGTGCAAGCTTTAGGTTTGAGGGTTCTCAGGGCTTCTAGGTTCCCTTCTTTTTTGGTTTTAAGAGTTTGTGTAGCAAAAGTATACAGATACAGACATTAGAGAGCGGGACCCTCACTTGTTTTGGTGTCGGGTTTGCAGATGAGTGTGCCGAAACCTAAACCCTAATCTCTAAACCTCCCACCCTAAACCCCTAAAGCGTCTGGCGGTGTTCGAGTTGCGAGAGCGTAAACCCCTAAAGCCCTAAGCCCTCAATCCTAAACCCCAAAACCCTAAACCCTAGACCCCTAAACACTAAACCTTGCACCCTAAACCCTAAAGCCTCCACCCTAAACCCCTCAGCCCTTAGCGCCCCAGCAGAAACCTTCAGGGCCGAACTGGGCGACACGGCGGATCTTTGGAGCCAGGTGGCACGGCACGCCAAGTTTCCTGGCATTGGGAAGGGCTGCTTTAGAATATATTGGAGTTTCCGAAAATTTAGGGGTACCTGATTTTGGGTCCTTATCAGAAGGATCCTACTATTCCGGGGTGCTTTAGTTTTTATTCTGCTTGATGGGGTTTAGGGTTGGGCTGCTTTAGACTTATGCTGCTTTGTAGGGTTTAACGTTTAGGGTTTCGGGTTGGGAAGGGTTGCCTTACATTTTTTCGGCTTTACAGGGTTTCGGGTTTAAGGTGTTGGGAAGGGTTGCTTTAGATTTACAGCGGCTAGTCCTCGGGCTCCATCAGCAGAGGCTTGTTGCAACGTCCCGGCTCGCGAACTGTGCGAATTTGTAAGAGGATCTTTAGATGTATTCAGGGTACGGAGTGGGAGTCACAGGGTTTCTTACCTTACTGGCTGCTATACGGTTTAGAGGAATCTTATGGGGTTTATCCGGTGTCTATGGGCTTGCAACAACATTCGCATAGCTGCTCGAGGGTTCTAATTACGATTGATGCTGGCCCTCAATTTCTTTTCTTCAGGTCGTACCCGGCAGTCGCAATAGGCCTAATAGGCCTGCATGCAAAAGGCTGTACAAGCATTTTCTGTGCCAGTCCCAATGGAAGAGGGCTGGGAGATGCGTGGGTGAGGTTTCATGGGTTAGACTTTTACTGAGTCTGCTGTTTAGTGTACGACTGACTTCAACCGGTAGGACTGCAGATTCTATGTGCGGTTTAGGCCTGTCTTCTGGGCATATCTCGGTTGTTCATACCGCGAGGTCATTGGGAGTTACTGCCTCGTGGCATCGCAATGTTGGCTTCAGGGACAACTTACATACCAGAAGTTCCTCCCACCCTAAACCTTACGCCTTACACCCTAAACCCAATACGGGCCGTTTCCCTCCACCCTGATTAAACCGGAAGCCGCCAACAACTCGACACCCGGACCCCAAGCCCTAGACCCACTCCCACATCCTAAGCCCCTACGCCCCATAAACCTTTTTATCATCCCTTCTAGCTTTCGGCAACCCTAACCCTTGAACTCTACAAAAAGCTTCCACCCCTACCATAAATCCCCAAACCCTAAAGCCTAAACCCTAAACCCTACCACAAACCCTAAACCTACGGACATGAAGACACATAAAGCTAGGGTACGGCCCCTAGGATAATATTCATAATCGATATATAAGGCCCTCAAAAGTAGCCCTATTATAGACTGTTACTGTATGGGGGCCGTACCCAACATAAAGCCATTGAGGCAGCTCCAGGAACGGGGAAGAGCAGCTGGAGAAGCCTTGGGACAGCAGGCCTTGCGGGAGTCTGGGTTATAAGACATGTAGTAATACCCTATGCCTCCAGGGACCTTATTATGGGGTCCTTAAGGGGTCTAGGGCCCTAACTATGAGGTCCTTGGAGGGATAGGGATACGCTTGGGGTGGAGGTTTGTAGACTTTGAGGGTTTAGGAGTTTGGGGGGTGCAAGACATAGAGTAGTACGGCTTATACAGGTTTGAAGGGTTTCAGGGTTTAGGAGTTTGGGGGTGGGAAGACATATAGTTGCCCGGTTTATAGAGGTATCTAGGGTTTGAGGGTTTACGGTAGAAGCCCAAAAGTTGGAAACCCCATGGCCTCGATCCTTAAGAGTAATATATAGGGAATCCCAGCACTATTTGGCCTTAATCCGGTTTCCAACTTTATGGGGTTTACTGTAAAGGCAGGTAGGAGGCTAAGAAAAGAAAGGGCTTAAATAGTTACCAATGCTAGGGTTCCTTTGAAAGGTTCCTCTAAAGGGCTCTACTGTAAGAGTTTTTGGCTTAAGGCTTAAGGTTCAGGACGGGGCGACCGAAAGTCTACTTTGCTATAGACTTCAGCAGATTAAGATCTACTTGGCGTTCTTCTGGTTGGCTCTTAGGACTTTAACTTTTTGGGGTTTCTATATGAACTATGATAAGGAGGCGAAAAGTTTAGCTTTTAGGAGGGGTTCAGAAGTCAGCCAAGTTTAGCGGTACATGCTGTTGCAGGTTTTTCGGGTGTATAGCCCTAGCAGGCGTTATCAGGGTTCTAGGGTGGATGAGATGTCCAGTATAAGGGGCATGCTTGGCACCCTTTCTGAGCCTTTTAGAGGGTCCACCCTGAAGCTTCCTTACGGCAGGAGAGTGAAGGAAATCCGGCGACAGCTGAAGATGGGGAAGAGGAGTCGCAAGCAACGGCTCCTAAACCTCGAACCCCTAAACCCCTAAGTAGGATTTGGGATTCTAGGATTCTAGGTTGGATCGGGCCTTGGGATTTTGGGTTTTTTAAGTTTTCGGGTGTGCAGTTTCGGGTGCGCATACTATGTTCGCAGGTGGGTGCCTTCTTTGGGGCATCATTCCATCGGGGGTGTGCTCACTTCTACAGTCCAGCCCCGCCCGACCCGTTCTTGAGGGTCCGTGGTTCTGCACCCGACCTCACAGCATGTTGCAAGTTTGGACGGCGCGTTCGGCTTTGTATGCTCACTGAAGAAGGAGGAGATGTAATGTGTATGAAGATGCATCTTAAACCCTTTGTCGAGCCCGTTTAGAACTCTTATCGATGCTTCATCTGAAACCCAAATCAACAACTTCTCGAACCCTTCCTGGACCTGACCATCTTTAATACCATACGGGTAGTTCTCTAAACTAGGGTCCGTTTTTGGGCACCCTAGATTTTAGGTGCCGTAGTATAGTAGGGACCCAAATGGGACAATAATTTTGACAACCACCCATATGGAACCCTTCCTAGACCGCCTGAAAACGCCCGCGAGGATGGGGCAAGGCCCTTATACCCCAAACGAGTATATAGTAACCTGAATAGAACCTTGTAAGGAACCCTTTAAAGATCTTTAAACCAGTCTAGTATATTTATATAACCTTTATAGAACCTTGTAAGGAACCCTTATAAACCCTAAACCCTAAACCCCTATGTAAGGAACCCTTTAAAGGAGCCCTATAGGTACCTAAAAGCCGCCCTCCGAAACTGGAGGATCCCTGGGCCGAGTGGGCTCGGAACCGCGCCGCGGGGATCGAAGCAGCGGCTCCGCAAAGTGAACAGCAAAAGGAGGCTGGGTTGGGGCGTCAGGGTTTAGGGGTTTAGGGCTTCAGGGTTTAGGGGTTTCGGGGTTTACGGTTTAGGGGTTTAGGGTTTCAGCAAAAGGCTTTAAAGGAGGCTGCGTTGGCTTAAACCTTATTGTAGTTGTCGGGCACCTGAATCCCGAAAAGACACCCTTTGATAAAAGCCCCCTTTGGCTTTTGCCGAGTTTAAGTAATCCTATAAGGATTGTTGTAAAGGTTGGTTTATGGAATACTTCAAGCGGGTTCTTGAAGATTTCGAGGTTTAGGCTTTAAGCTTGCGCTTTTGTTGTGTTCTGACATTCGCACCCAAGTACCGGTACAATCTCCTAGTTCGCAATGGCTTGCCTGTCGGAATTGTTTCATCTTTCTAGAGTTAACAAGCCAGAAGACTTTCAGCGTGCAGTTTTTTTGGGGTGCATTTGTACCCTGTTCAAGTAATCAAGTTTCCGCAGGCCTCTGCGTACAGTTGGGTCTTGCTGTTGTGCTGGAGCCCAGAGCTGGCTTGCCACGTAGCTCAACCTGGTCTGATGACGAAAGGCGCATCCTCAGTAGGATTTAGGGGTAGGGTTTGGGGGCTTAGGGTTCAGGAAAAAAGGGTTCTTTCATACATTCCATAAGTGCTCTCGAAGGTCATAGCGGCGTAGCGTCGGTTCCCGATGCAGTGAAATCATTTTAAAGGCTGTCATTCCAGTAAGTTTTGAGACATCTTCTAGCACTGATTTCCGTTCCAACCCCCTGAACTTCAGGCTAAACTTTTTTTACTCTGAACTTTAACCCAAACCCCGAACCCTAAGGGAAAAAAACAAATCCCGAAGTCTTCGAAAACTTACAGTGAAGATATATAAATGCCTTGTACAAGCACTAGTACAAAGCTCGATAGTCAGTTCGCTGAAGGCTCCAGCGCGCCCTGTGGCTGGCTCCGTGCCAAGAAGTGGGCCCTGCTACGGCCTGAGCATGGACCGAACTCCGTACCTAGACCCCCAAAAGTAGGTAAAATAATGGCCCAAAACTTACAAAAGTAAGGCTATTATTCTACATACTGTTGGGGTCCAGGTAGGTGTTAGTTCAACAGTTTTCAGAAGTTGGTTTTTAAAGGTTTCCACTAGAGTTTATGGTTTTGGGTTGGTTTTGTGAGGGTTCGCAGAGTGCTTTATGCCTTTAGGGTTAGGGTATTATGAGGGGATTCAATGTTCAGGGTTTTGTTTGGCCAGTGGTTGTCCTGCTCATGCCATCGAGGGGCGATGCGGAAAGCCGGAACGCAAAAGCCTCACGCCCAAAAACCTAAACCCTGAACACCAAACCGTCATAGACGGAAAAAGGCGCTTAAACAAACAAGAAACTGCCACACCCATCAGATACATCTTCGTCTTCCTCTGGCCCGTCGGTGGCACCAGGGCACCAGCCGAAGCGAGACGAGGCAAGACAGTGAGCTACTGCTTGATATTCCCTTGTACTAGGCAAAAAAAGGAGCCTAAATAACTATAATGGGAAGAATATTTGTCATAATTCAGGCTTCTTTGCTAGGGTAATTACCTCGAAGTGTTGTCTGAGCTTCAATGTCTTCTCTTCCATACTCATTTGGGGTTTAGGGTTCGGCCAAACAGGGAAAGCCCATAAACATTAAAGCCGTTGAGCCCAAGAGCTACACAGCAACGTCGGAGGCGTCGGGTGCTCGTCCTGCCGGCGGGCTGCCGGCCTCGGCGACGTTGGCTGCAGAGGAGGCAGGGATGCAGTCCTTGGCGTTCTTCTGGTTGGCCCTCAGGACTTTAACTTTTCGGGTTTCTACATTTTAGGAGGGGTTCAAAAGTCAGCCAAGCGTCGGTTTTAAGGTTTAGGTTTCGTTGTAATTAGATGTGGGTCTGGGGCATACGTTCTTCCATCTTGGTGGTTTTAGGTTTTAGACTTTTTGGCTTAGTTTTGGGTGGAGCATTTTTGAGTTGTAAGCTTTGGGTTGTCCGTGACGTCTAGAGACAATCTCAGACCTGAGCTCCCTTTGGCCCTTATGGTGTCGTTATGAACCCTGGGTGCAACAACAAGATCCTATATGGGAGTTTCCGAAAATGAGGGGCCCTAATATAGTACCATGAATAGTAAATAGTAGGATCCTTATTATAAGGACGCCCAAATAAGGTACCCCTAATGTTCGGGAACTCCCATATAGTTCTTTGATGCAGAGTTTCGTGTTCAGGATTTCAGGCCTTGGTGTGTTGGCATTCTTGGCTTTACCTTTGGAGGTTCAGATACGGATCTTGGAATGGATTTTGGTTCGGGGTGGCAGCTTTGTCCTTAAACCTTGAACTAGAAGCCCCGCACTTAACAACCAGAAAGATGTTGGCATGCCTCGCAGGCTACAATGTCAAGCAGTATATGGCCTTGTCTTACACCGTACACCCCTGTCCCCCCCCCCGAGTTCTAAACCCAGAATCCGAAACCCAAAACATTAAAACCTGGCACTACAAACTCCCAGCTCGAAGACATCCAAGGCACACTGCAAAGGAACATTACATAAGTTTACGCAACTAGAAGTCTTCAGCCAGCTTTGCCCTAATTGAGGCCTACTGTAAACAAACCCTCAACCCTAAACCCAAAATCCTAAACCGCAGGCCCTGTAAACCCTGGAGTAAGACTTTGGTGTTCCTCAAGGCTGCCTCGCTGCTGGAAGACTTGGCCAAAAGGCCGCGGAGTGGCCGAGAACTGGCATCGTGCGCAGGGCGCTTGCGGTCCCTGGCAGAGGCTTCTGAGGGCTTCGGGTTTGGGTTTAACGGTTTAAGGTTTAGGGTTTAGGGTTTAGGGTTTAGGGTTTAGGGTTTAGGGTTTAGGGTTTAGGGTTTATAGGGTTTCTAGAGGCTGTAGGATTAAATACATAACTGCAAGTGCCTGCCTGCGCGCACACATGCATCAATGCGTTCGTTTCCATTTCCATTTCTATTGGGGAAATTTAGGCTGGGAATGAGCTTACTTAGAGCTTTTTTAGTTATTTGTGTTGGAGTTGCATTTTTCTGTTGTTTGCAGTTCGTAGGGTGTTCGGCTATTCTGCATGTTGGTTGTTGGGGCGCATTCAGGGATGCAGACGCTTCAGGGCTTCAGGCTTGAGGGTTTTTGGGATTGTGGATTGAGGGGTTGGCAAACTAAATTTGTTCCGGTGGAGCCCAGTGCCCGTGAGTACAAAGGGGGTACACCTTACAAGTCAGCAGTTTCATACTTCTGGAGTTTACTAAGTAAACAGATTGTCTATGGTCTTCCTGTAAAGCCTAAACAAGAACAGCTTGTGTGAATCCGGATCAGCAAACTTTAGACAAGCCTTGAAAGCTGTGGGCCTTCCGGCCTAGAGTTACTTTCGACCCTAAACCCTAACCCCTAAACCCTAACCCTAAGGCTCCTCAGTATAAAGACAGACTACACATGATCCCCCCAAGACCAAACATGTAGAAGTCTGGAGCCGATTAGACAGGATTCCGTAAGGGATTCCTCATCTAAAGGCTTAATGCCCCAATATTATATCTCGGCTACTGATGAAGCTTTGCTTAAGACCCAGGACAGTGGTCCGGTTGGGGATCCAGGGGTTCGGGTATATGAACTTAAAACCCTGCAAGCGGTAAACCGTAAACCCAACAGCGGGTTCGGGCTTCTAAAGAGAATCGGCTCGGCTGTGAGGTCTTTAGGACCCAGGGCTTATAGGTTCAGGGGCGTCATTTTCGGGGAGAGCATGTTTTCAAGGGTGGAGAGAGTATTCAAAGTAAAAGACAGAAAGTTGGAATATGATTATCCTAAACCCTTTATGGCAAATTAAAGGGTATCCTACCATGAAACCATATTCCAACGTTCTGGAGTTCCCTGTAAACCCAAAAACCCCCCAGCGAGACAGACGAGGGTCGTTCAACAACCGAATGACCTCAACCCTACTCTAGAACCTAAGCTGAGGCCCTATTTCCCTTTTTGTAGGGTTCATGTTCCCTTATAAGCCCCTTTAAATCAAAAAGGGCACCTTTTTTTCCTAAGTTACTCTTGGGTCTAGTATTTCTCCTAAACCCTAAACTCTAAACCCTGAACCCTAAACTCTAAACCCTGAACCCTAAACTCTAAACCCTAAACCCGGTATTTCTTCCTCTGTAGGAGCGCCTCGCCCATCACGTGCAACTGCCTTTGCTGCAGTGGCTTTGGTCCGAAGTTTCCAGCGTTGATCAGTTTAGAGGTTTTAGGGTTTGGGGGTTTAGGGGTTTAGGGTTTAGGGTGAAGTCTCAGTGATCCTTAAACTCTGTGGTGTCTTTTGAAAACTCGAGATTTACCTGCATGAAGTTACAGCCCATGCATGAACATGCAATTTCGGGCACTGCTTCGTCTACGACAGGCACTCGTACAGATGACACAATTACTACTGCAAGCACTGCGTCTACTACCATTACTACTTCTGCCCTACTTGTAACTTCGCATCTCGACCACCTCCGACCACTGCCATTACTACGATCCCTCCTAAAGACTTGCGAGCACTGCTGACATGTACCGTCTGACATGTACCGTGCCTTGTGGTAGTCATTGGGCAGAACTGCGCAGTACAGCAGAAGCACATGTGATGGCAAGGCATGCACTAAGCTGATGATGAGGGTGGTCGCCGTGGTAGAGTGAGCTGTTCGCCATAACCACAGGTAATTAATCCTTCTTGACCGTGATGTCGAGATGAACTTGTTGCTCCTGACATGCGGATATTGATGAGGAGGGTGACGGAGAATCGCGATGACGCAACTCAAGACCTCTACAAGCCCGATGCTGTCAACTGATACCGGTTCGTTAGTAAAACACACAGCATGAGTATGCTCAGAAGCGAATTTCGATCGCATGAGTTTTGTCAGGAGAGACTCTGAGCCCCAAAGTTCGGATTTTGAACAGCCGAGTAGCTTCAGACACTCAGGTACTTGGACGTGGATTCCGATGCCCTGTTGGACGTTCCTCCCGATGGCTTCGCAGTGCCAACGCAAGGAGCCAGGGTAGGTTTATTGGTCTGAGGGCTGCGGTGGTTCAGGCTCTTGGAACTCAAGAGTCAAGTTGGACGGAGGCTCGGGTACTGAACCTTCGCATGCCCCCCCCAAGTAAAAGACATCATCTACGAGCTCCGCCAACCTTATTGTAAATATGAAAATATGTGTACAGGTATACATTATACATAGTGGCAGTATGAAAGTAGAGTCCCTTACAAAAGGCCCACCTCCGGGTCGGATGAGCGTACCCACGCCACACTCCAAAACCCTCAAGGACGTCTTTGTGAGGAAGATGAACGACAGGTGGCCACCTGGACTGTACTGTTTGGGAGTTTCTGGGGTACCTTATTTTGCGGTACTTATAATAGGGATCCACCTATTTAGGGTACTATATTAGGGTCCCCTATTTTCGGAAACCCCCGTTTGTAGGTATGGGACGGAGAGCTCCAGACCGCAAGCCCTAAGTCTGAGCATGGGGGAGCTGAGGCGAGTTGGGGCGAACGCTGGGTCGCTGCCTCAGATTCAGCCCTAAACTTCCCTAAACCTTAATCCCTAAACCCTAATCCCTAAACCCCAATCCCTAATGAACTCGACATGTTCCCTCGCAGAGCCCTTATACCTCGCCTTGTCTTATGGACTTGTGGGGCTACTTGCGTGATCGGGAATTGCAGGCTCAGGCTTGTGCTGGAAAATGGGAGTTTCCGAAAATTAGGGGTACCCTACTTTGGGGCCCTCATAATAGGGATCCTACTATTTAGGGTCCTATATTAGGGTCCCTTATTCTCGGAAACTCCCAAATCAGACTGTATACAGCCTGGTTCTAAAGTTCCAAACCTGTTGTACTGTTGATGGACAAAATCCGGCATGACCTTAAGGACCCTAAACTATGGGAACTATGGTATATTCCTTATAATGGGTGATGCAGGATTTTGTCCATCATCAACAGTATGTACATATACCACAGCTTGGAAATAACACCATAGTGCAGTAGTAGGGTACAGTATTGGGTAGCAGAACATCACCTCAACAACATCGCCTGGTAGGCCATAATGCACATTAGAGTCAGGCTTTGCTACCACTACGAAGTGCTGCTACGTAAACAGACTTTTCAGTATAGCCAAGTAGCTTGTCATGCAAACTCAGACCAGGTAACCTGAGGTGTGTTGTCTTATGTTGTGTTTCGGCATCTAGCTATGCACTTTTATGTCTGCAGCCTCAGTGTGTTCGGTGTATATTATGTCCTCTTAGTGGTGTTATGAGCATTCTAGCTTGCATTTTCATCTACTACTACATACTTTCATGTGTATAGTTGCATCGATCGCAGCTTGGTTATGTTGACATATATATATATATATATATATATGCATATCTCAGCGCTTGAATTGCCATTATGCGCACATGTCCCCGAGGGGCAGGGGAGAGAGTTTTCGGAGAATCTCTTACGTATTGGGTACGCCGTTTTCGGGATCGGTCTTCGTTGGCTTCCACCATTTGTCCCAGGCTAGTTGCAAACCTCAGCTCATTTCGACGGTGTATTGCTGAGTGTGAGGACTAGTGTGTTTCCTTGGATACTGATGGAGGTGTCAGAATGCCAGAAACTTACGACATGCGTCTTAGCAGGGGAAACCATTCCTGGTAAAGTGCTTTTAGGTTTCTGGAAATGAAGGCTGGCCGCACTTCATTTGGTCTCGAGTACTTGCAACAGTCAGTAAACCTTGAACCCTGAACTCAGGTCTTCCATTACCTCAAGCGGAAGTACGCGGATCAGCCAAGTGCAACTGGTTTGAATAAAGATCCAAGGGGACGTATCTCAGGAATCGCGGCTATAACCTCAAATTTACGGCCTTGAGTATCTACGGTTTGGGAACCAGTAACTAGGACAACTCAGCTAAATATGGCAAGACAAGTCGCATCCGCCGCGGGTCGGCTGTACCGCCGAGGCCCTACATTTAAGCAGGGAGCCGCGAAATGAGATGGGTATAGATTGATTGCTTCGAAGGCTAGTGCCCTTTCCGCCGTCTATGCCATGGATGCTGCTTGTTGGGGTCTGTATGTACCTTCACCCACCAGAACCTACTTTGTTGTCTGCTTCCCATATATTCCATACTAGGGATTTACAGTAAGAGCCGACGAAAAATTTAGGTTTTGGTGGGTTAAGGTACCCAGACCTTCCAAAATCCCTTAATTAAGGAATATACCTTAAATCATAGTAGGATCCCGAATATGATTTAAGGTATATTCCTTAAGGGATTTTGGAAGGTCTGGGTAGGGCCTGCAGGGTTCAGGGTTTAGGGTTCTACATGGGAGTTTCCGAAATTACGGGGGGACCCTAAAAAAAGTGCCCTAAGTAATAGGATCCTTATCATAAGGGTTTAGGGTTTAGGGTAAAGTGCCCTAAGTAATAGGATCGGCCCCAAAATAAGGTACCCCTGTTTATCGGAAACTCCTACATGTAAGGCCCGTAGCTTCGATGTGGCTCTTCATCCGGCAACGATCTCCCGAAATCCCCCAAGGCCAGGGGGCTTTAACAATTAGACAAGGGTTTTGGGGCATATCATACTATAGGTAATTATTAAGGTCCCTATATGATATAGGCTCCTCTTTGTCATGGTTTAAATGATCTGCAGAACCCGGTTAAAGCCCCAAGCGCCGCTGAGCGAACGGGATTTCCCCTGAACGCCCTTGTCCAAGGGAAAAAGGAGGGACGCTTAATAAGGACCCCTAGGTATATACCTTCATATGGCTATTATATACCCATTATATAGCCCATTATAGGGTAGGGGTCCCCATTAAGGGTCCCTCCTTTTCCGCTGAACGCCCTTGGCATGAGTTGCCAAGCTTGCAGACTTTGGCATCGTCAACGGCAGGAGCTTTCCAGTTTTGAGGCCGCCGGATCCGAAACCCAACCCTAAACGCAGAGACTCCAATATCCCTTAATTAAGGAATATTCCTTAAATCATATTCAGGATCCTATTATAATTTAAGGTATATTCCTTAATTAAGGGATATTGGAGTCTCTGGGAAGCCCAAAGTCTCACTCAACAGACTCCGAACCATGTGCCTCGCCTGGATTGTCCGAGTGTGAGCGCCGAAACCCCAGAGTCAGCCTCAGAGATCGAAGCCTCAGCCTCCGACGACGAGGTAGTGGTGAAGTGGCTGAACGACGAGGAGGAGCAGTTCGAGTTCTACGATGTCGCTGTGAGATTCCCGAACGGAGAGCAGGACCACACCAGTTTCGTGCTCTTTTTCTGGCTAGCGGCTGGCCTTTTGACAAATATCAGTGGCCTAGATTTAATTAACCCATTCATAGAGCGCTGCATAGACATTCTTGAGATGCCGCGGCTTTCCTTTTGAAAGGGCAGTTTTGAAGGACTCGATATCTAAGGTCCTTGGGTTCCGGGTGTAAGGTCGCAGGCCATGCCAGCGGTTTGCAGTGCCAAGGTTTCCAAGTTTATTCCGGGTTTAGTTCTCTCTATGGGGCTACCGACTAGGTCGCAAGTTGGGAAGAGTTTTGTTCTAGTATGAGGCTCCGATGGTTTCTGCACCTCTTCCTCAACCCGGATGTTACAGCACAAACCCCTAAAGCTTGAATTGTTTGGTTTGCATGGTCTTTCGGCTCAAATCAAAACCGATCAGGACTGCCCATGATTTTAAGTTTTCCTGTTTTTTGAGACTGGCTGGGGGTTGTCCTTGTGAGGGTCAGGGTTTAGGGCAGGGGGGTGAGTGTTCATGGGTTTAGGATGTAGGGCGATCCTGGACAGGAATATTCCGGGTTTCTGACTATTGGGGATCTTTTTTTGGGAAGCCCTCGGCTCTATATAGGGAAAAAATATCAGGGGTGATAGCACTTTCTGAAAAAGGCCCCATATGCAGACGATTGCTGCGCCTTCTTCATTGCATTCCCATGTTATTGACTGTTGCTTCGGTTGTTTCCGGTGAGAAGGACAACCCACCGGGCCCTTGGGTCTCGGAGGAGCCCTAGCTAATGTGCTCCTGTATCTCGGGGGCGAAGTCTCCGACGCCTTTGGAGCTCCATGCCAGATCGCTGGCAGATGATGTGGATGTTACGCGACGCATTCCAGAAATAACACTTTTACACCTACATGATCGTCTCCATAAGGACAGCATCACCAGAATGCAACACAACACGCATTAGTCGTCGACCGGGCCTATGTATCTCTCACGATATCCTTGATGTCGGTTGTCCAATACGTTGTCGAAACATCAGATCTTTATGTGGCCTTCTGAGGTATTTGTTGGCCATGATGGTTTTCTGATCCCAGTGTGTCCTACCTTTATGGCTTGAGGATATTATTTACCCTAGATCTGAAACTGGAGACATGGGCTCAGTGTTCTGGATGGTTTGTTCCCGGTGGGGTTGGATTTAGGAATGAGGGAGTTTTGAGTTTGAAGGCTTTGTTTCTGAAAGGTTGTTGGTCGAAGAGTTGAAGTGGTGTAGAATGTAGGAGTCTACTTCCTGATTGGATTTCTCTTCACGGTGTTGCTATGGTAATCTTCACACCTCACTCCCATTATTGACCGTCTGTTGAACAGAGTGGAACCTAACCGACCAGGCACCAAGAACCTTGCCTGGCGTGTTCGAGTGTGAGCACCGAAACAGCCCTAGTTCAGCCTTCCATACAGCTCTTATGAGCACTACATCGACACTCACAAACCTTTAGAATGAGACTATGGAGCCCTAATCACACTTAGCCGCGTAGCCTTCCTGCAATTTGAACATGCAAGACAACACAGCGCTTTACCACTTCGATTGCAGCAGCTTCTCTGCCCGCCACAGGATGAGACCCTACTATACGGGCGTAAATAATTACCAGTACTATGGTGGGGTTCCTAAGTATATATATATATAGAGAGAGAGAGAGAGAGAGAGAGAGAGAGAGAGAGAGAGAGAGTCTATTCGGCCCCCGAACCCTATTCTAATTACTAGGCCCATATAAGGCCCCTATATTACACCCAGTTTTTTTGAATCTGTACGGTCTTTGTAAGGCCAAACATTCACACCCAGGCTGTTCCGATGCAATTTCCCATGTACACGGTCGCCGCAGAGCTGCTGCTGAAGATGACGGAAGTCGAGCCACACGAAAAGCTGAAGGATGGAACGATCGGATAGGGGAATTGGGAACAGCTTTGGGAGGGGTTGTAGACGGTGGAGGCTCAAGTTCTGATGAGGGTGTAAAGGAGCCTCGATAGGTAGTTCAAGGCCGGAAAGGTCGGTGTCGTGATGGAGGACCAGAGGAGGCCTTGAATATGACGAAGCTACTACCCTAAGCCCCCACAGTAGTTCCTTCTTTGGGGTTCATATTAGATTGTATGACTTATGAGGTATAGTCCCAAAAAAGGAACTACTATAGGGGCCTTAAAGCGGACTTGTGCCTGGGTGAACAAAGACGGCTGACCTGGCATGTGCAGATCCTGAAACGGCAGATGATCTGCTGAAACACTGCTCCCAGAAGCAAGCAGAACCATGACCGCCTACAAGGATTCTTATAGAATTACTATGGTAAGGAACCCCCCCAAACTAGTATTGGTAACAGCCCCTATATTGTTTAAGGGAGGGGCGCCAGATGGATTGATCAACAGCAGGCCCTGCGCTTCAGCTGCAGCTGCCGAGGGGGTTTTAGGGCTTAGGGGGTTCGCCACAGAATTCTGACGGAGCTAGTCTTGCGGCAGGCTCGGGGCGATTTGGTCGTCTTCAGCAGCAACATCGGGAAAGCGGCCTTCGTGTCACATCAATGGCTGTCCGAATTCCATCCTGATCCCGATTCTGGGTTCTTGTTAAGGAGCTTGACCTAACTACCATGATACGGGAACTCCTTTTTACGCTTTACGATAAGATGCTGAGTATGCAACTTATATAAGTTCCTTCAGAAGAGCCCAGGATTTCAAGCAAATGCGCATCCTACAGGATGCGATTGAACGACTCCTGGCAGGGCGCGGCTCGTTGCCGCTGGACTCTGCTACGGAGTCTGTCGTCCCCACGGCTAAACCCCTTCTCCTGCAAGACTTTCAGATGGAGGCCTTGTTCCTATGGTACCTGCAGCCGAAAAGACCTACCTTTTGTGGGTTCCTTATGATGGTTTCTATATAGTTCCTTCAAAAGGTATAGGTCTTTTGGGCTACAGGTATGACTACTTCTCCTGTCCACAGCTGGAGGGCAAGAATTCCTTTGCGCTGGCGGGCAAGAATTCCTTTGGCGAAGAGGTCGGGAGCGAGCAGGCAAGTGCCATCAGCAGCATCCCGGCCTACATCGCCCGATGCCAATTCTTCCTGGCTTTGTGTCCGACCCTCGAATGCCCACAGGAGGCCAAGGTGCTTTCGATGACGACGTGGGGACGACGGGGTTGGTGCCGGATCGAGCGCGCGGCACGTGAACTTTCCAGAGACAACAGCTGGGTTCTTGTTCGGGGCGGAACGACAATGGAAGTGGCTGGCACATCAATATCTTTTGTGAGTGGATCCGTAGGGGAAGGCGAATTTGCATTTCCAGAGGATAGGCAGGCACTAGCTCCGGTCATGCGCAACATCGTGCTGCAGAAGCTGAAGCATTGCCTCCAAGCTGGCGATCTGCCCGGATTCCGGCGTCATTTCAACCTCCAAACTGTGCACCTGCGCGGGCTGGAGGTGGAACCGGTTGCGGGCTTCCTGCCAAAACACGATGCTGCTGGAGCCTCCGGTTGCGACACCTTGGCAGAGTTCCTGCATCAGAACGGCTTCCAGGGATGTGGCGAAGTGGATAGCGCGGGGTGGCGGCCCTTGCATTATGCAGCACTTTCCGGGGACACCGAGCTACTCCGGGCTTTGCTGGAGGAAGGAGCCGATGTGAACTGTCGCACCTCCAAGGACGAACCGACCTTGGGATTTCCTCCCTGGATGTCGGCCCTTGACATGGTGGTTTATTTCAAGCACCAGAAACTGGGTTCTTGTCAGAGGACTTATATTCAAGTTTCTATAAAGTAGTATATCTAAGTATATAAGGGAACCATACTATGTACTATAGATCCCTATTATAGTCACTTAAATTAGATGCCTTGACACGAACCCAGGAAAGCCACCAAGCTGCTCCTTGAAAGCCGGGCCCATCTGCACGGTGGCCTCATCGCCGCCATGCACTTTGCCGGGCCTAGGGACAATGCGGAAGGCATCCGACTGCTTTGCGAGGCGGGTGGCCGCCCACTGGCACAGGGCGTTATTGGATACACACCCTTGCAGACAGTTGCCAGTTATGGGGCAATCCAAGCGGTGGAGGAGCTTCTGAGGCAGTGCCAACCGGATCAGCTGGAGCTGTCGCGGACGCTTTGGGCTGCGGTGAACTTTCGTGGTGGGTCAGCAGAGATAGTCCATCGCTTGATCGAGGTTCGTGCGGACATTAACTTCCGGCTCAAGGCACCGGGGTGCTGAACAGACATACACTCTTCATTTTGGGCATAGTATGTCGCCACCAAGAGCTGAGAATGTCAAGCTTCGTCGTTCAGACCCCCTAGGCAGTACACTTCGGGGGTGTGCAAACATGCCCACAGAGAGAGAGAGAGAGAGAGAGAGAGGGATATATGTTTTTATACCAATGTTGATATATATATATATATGTACATATACATTATACTTGTACATATATCGACATAATTTGCACTTACATATGCGTACATACATGCACATCTGCAGCTATTTTTGCATGTTTGTTGTACTTTGCCCTGTGCCCAGAAGAGCCGCCAGGTGTCGCGCGAGTACCGGGTCCTTGGGCGGCTGCTCTTTGCCACGAAGTCCCTGCAGCACCGCCTTGGTCGGGTGACGTGTCTATCCGCAACTCGGCCGGCTCCGGTTAAGGAGCTCATTTCTCAAGGGGCGCTACCTACAGTCTCCATTATAATTAGTTCCTTTTGGGGAGTACCTTGTAGGTTTCCCAAGGGGCGCTACCTACAGTCTCCATTGTAATTAGTTCCTTTTGGGGAGTAGCTTGTAGGCTTCTCTCTATGAACCACCAGGATTCCAGATAAGGAGCTCCTTTTTTCTCAAGAGACGCTAGTCTAGAATCCCTACAAGGGTTGGTAATGATGAGGATTCCAGTTAAGGGCTTTTTTGCAAGGGACACTAGACTAGAATCTCGACGAGGGTTGCAAACTACGAGGATGGAGTTCAATAAAGTTTGGCGCTTCAGGGTGTGCACGGGTTTAAGTATAGATACGGTATAGGCTTAACAAAATAGGGCTTAACGTCCACGTCTTCACCCGAGACTCAGCAACGTAGGCGTATCGGGCTCCTACGTTTGAGGGTTAATAGTCATAGGAAGGCTATTTGTAAGTTCTTTCGTATTTGAGTTTGTCATACTTCTACTCGTTCGGGTTCACAGCCCGATAATCATTTAACGGCCATAACATGCCTGTTGGCTTGCAAGCTGGGCAACTAGCTGAGGAAAATTCCCTGCACCAGCACGGCAGCACACCGCTCATGCAGGCTATGGGAGTTAGGATTAGGGGGACCTTCGGGGATATAGACCCCCTCAATAAGGTCCCTTTTTAAAAGAGCCAGAAGTAGGGTTCGGAAGGGGTACCCTTTAAGGGGTCTCCCTCATCATGCTCATGCAGGCTATTCGTACGGCCCAGTGGGAAGCTGCTGCGACCCTGATTTCGGCCGGTGCAAGGACGAACACAGGGGCCTGAATAATTGCCAATACCATTTTGGGGGCTGCTTCTTATAATTATGATAGAATATACCCCAAAAGCCCTATTCTACTTATTAAGGCCTCTGCAGTACCTCATTTTATGTGAGGGACTATCATGGGATGGTGCTGATAATGATTCTTCCGATTTCGGCCGGTGCAAGGACAGATTTGCAGAATTGCAAGAAGCGCACCGTGGCCGACTTCGCCAGAACGCTATCAATCCCGAGCTACTTGCAGATGGGGTTGGACGGGGACCCATCCGAATGTCAGAGAGTGTCTTCCCTGGCACTTGCGGACTCCTACTTGGAGATGTAGCCGCAGATTGAGACAATTTTCAGTGCTTTGCCTGCATGCATGCACTTTGCTGTATGCTGGCAGCATCGATGCTAGCCGCATCGTAATTCGTCAGCGTGAGAAGCGCCTGCTTCATCGACATCGCATGCTAGAGCATTTGAGAGATGTGTTGCTTTGTCGAGGTGATACGCAATGGGCCCCTTGGGCAAACGCCCCATGTACTATAGGGGCCTAAATAACTAATTACTAATACTATTTTTGCGGATTCCTTACTACAACTCATTATTAAGGCCCCTATAGTAATCGGATGTGCTTTGTTCGGAGACAGGCTTTATTCCGAAGTGGTTCCCCGCAAGCAATGATTTTCTGAGTCAGTGCTCCCCAGTCGAGGTGTAATTATTTGGGGTCAGCTTTGAGTAATTAATCTCATTTCTACGGAATCGATGGCCCAAATTTCGAGAAGGACCATCAGAAAGAATCACCATAAAATCGACCGGGACTGCAGCACAGGATGTCTCACTCAAAGCGTCCCTGCCCTGAAGGCATTGGACTGCTGCGATTTAATATAATGAATCTCCGAAGAAAGCACTGCAGCAAGAGGTTTCAAAAGAATCTGAGAAAGTCCGGAGGAGCCGAGGCGCCTGATCGCTCACCTCTCATTCCCTCCTCCTCCTGCTGGTAGTTGCTCCTCCCCCTCTTCCTCCTACGATTACGGCTGCTGCTACTGTGCTATACCAGCAGCAGCACCAACAGCTAGTACTACCACCACCACGACAACGACTGCTACTGCTACTGCCACTGCGACGACGACGACTACTACTATCACTGCTACTACTGCCACCGCAGCCACCGCCACCGCCGCCACCACCGCCGCCACCAGCACCACCACCACCACCACCACCACCACCACCACCACCACCACCACCACCACCACCACCACCACCACCACCACCACGACCTCCTCGACAACAATACTACTCACACGACGACGGCGACTACTACGCCCATTACCCATCACTACCACTGCTGCCGCTTCTACTGCTGCTGCTACTTCTAAAGCTACTGCTACTCTTACCACCACCACCACCACCACCACCACCACCACCACCACCACCACCACCACCACTGCCACCACCACTACTACTACTACTACCACTACTACCACTACTACCACCACTACTACCACCACTCCACTGCTCTGCCACTCTACATCACTTCACTACTCACTCTGCTACTAGTTGATACGGCTACTACTACTAGGTCCACCACCGCCGTCACCACCATAACGACCTACTACCACTACTACTTTAACCTACAAGCAGTGCGAAGCACTTGCACCAATGATTGTCAGGGTGCCTGGCACCAGGCAACATCTCCCGAGTGGGCAGCATGCCAAGCTTTCGATGTGATTCGTAGCATCCCTGGGCAGCCACCCCAAACCCTCAACCCTAAAACCGCAAGGATTGTTACGAGGTGAAGACGACGATCACAGGGGACAACAAACCCATGGAGGCCAGGGTCATTCAAGGAGATATGGCCAGTAACGACCAGGTAGCAACCAGTGAAATCTTCAGGTACAGTCCTTGCTCCAGGCCGTGTCTTGGACTTTGAAACTTGAGCCATGAGTCGACTCTGTAAATTAACTTAGGCAGAAAGTCTCAACCCATAATTTTAGATCCCCAGACGGTGTTGCCTTTAATCGTGGGGGGTTTTCGGCAATAAACGATCCTTATTTGGGTGCTGCCTTTAAAGTAGTACAGATTGGGGCCGGAGCCGCCCGCAGGCCGCCTTTAATCGTAGGGGGATTATTAACCCTAGGTCAACATTATAATTTTTGGCCCGGCAGCTAAGCTCCCAAACCGGTTCAGGGCTTTTGTTTAGGCTTAGACTTCAGGACAGACTCTAAGCTACTCTAAACTTCATGTAGGGAACCCGTACACACTGTAAGATTTGTTTCTCCTCTTCGTCAGGGGGTACATGTGACTTTGTCGTTAAGAACCTTTGCTCGCACCTTGTACCCTGAGCTCAATAAACCATTTCAACTGCTTACCCCCACTCCCTAGTTAAACCTTAAACTATATCTGTGTATATACATGCATGTTCTTATACAGTTACAGCCATCAAAACATCATTAGACCATGAACTCTCAACACTAAACTCTGAACCCTAAGCCTCATCGAGCACATGTTTATGCAAGAAGGTCTCGGAGAGGCAGGTGCTCGAGGCAGCGAAATTGAAGCAAAGCTTCAACTTCGTGCGAGTGCCGGCCTCTGCGCGGGGATCCATGCTGCAGCTTTTCATGGGGGGGCATACACTGTAGAGTGTAGGGTCAGGGTTTGCTTGCGGGTTTTAGGGTTTGGGGCTTAATAAGGTCTTATGACGGCTTCCTGGACGTTGCTTCCCTGCATATCTCATGATCCAAATCGTTGGTGTTTGCCGTTCGCGTTGTAGTACGAGATATCTGGGGGCTTTGGGGTATAGGCTGGGGGATTCTGCCTTGTTTGGGTTCGGAATTATCCACAGCGTTGAGCGTCCGACGGTGGGGGAGGTTCCTTCCCTAACAGAGTAACGCACCTCTTCCTCGGTGACCTAACGGGCGAACCTTGCTGGTGATGACTGGTTCCCTAGACCTGTAAGCCCCCAAAGCCTAAACCCCTAAATCTCTGAACCCCACTAAGCCCTAAGGAGCAAAAGCCCTGGACATCAAGCCCCTGTTTTGAAACTCCCATGGTGTCGTCTTCCCCATGGTGCAACTGTCGATCTCCAAACCTGAATTGCATTGCAACTATGATAGTCCAGGCCGCGGAGGGTTTAGGGCGCCGAGGCTGTTATAATCATGAGTTGCGACTATGATAGAAGCCTTAATGGTGCCCTCCTCAGCGAGCCGATTTACGTTGGCTGAGCTGGCGGTCCTCTGGTCCCTTCTAGCAGGTTTTAGGGTTTAGGGTTACAGTGCTGCCCGTTCTTCGCAGGTTCTTGCCCGCTAGGTTCGGCTTACGCGCCCCATGCGAGCCTATTTGTCACTACGGTTGTTGCCAGCACCTGACGCTGACCCACTCGCGTTGGTTGTAGTTGCCTCGAGTTTTGGACTCCCCTCAGAAGTAGGTGCAGAGTGAACCGTCTGAATAGTGTCTTTCTTCTTCTCGTCTTTGCTGCCCGACCTCGTCGTCGCCGACGTTTCCACAGAAAGATGGAAAGCTGCAGTGTCAACAGCCCACGGAGGTGCCAGTAAAATCAAGCAATTCGACTGGGTTTGGGGTGTTGCCTCTTAATTATAGAGGCACATGATGTATATATTCCGACTTTCCTTCCAGACCCTTGCATCAGGGTTTAGGTTTACGATTACAAAGCCGTTGACCTCACAGGGCAGGATGCGGTCTTATCATTGTGTGCCTCCACGCATGCCCCACAACGTCAGACCGTGTAGTGTTCCGCCTACCTAGGGCCCCTACACCCCATGGCCCCGAGGTGTTCGGTGCGGGTGGGGCTGCGCCGAAGATGCTGCGGCTTGCCGGGAATATTCCTTGAACCCACCCAAACCCGCCAGACGAATATCAGGATCCGGGATTCCCGAAACCCAAGCCGTAGCAAGCCTCCATGGTCAGCTTCCTTATGAAGTGCTGCAGGCAGGCCGACGAACTTCTTCATAAAGGGTGCACAGGTGTCATCTGTACCCGGGGCCGGTTTCGTTGAGAAATCAGGCAATATAGGGGCCTGAACACTTATAGAACACCACAACAAAACGGAACCTCCAAAATGGTATCGGTAGTTATTTGGGCCTCTATGGTACTTTTTGCTGTTACTTTGAGCACAGCACCCTTGGGAAGTTAACTGATGTGTTTGTGTTACCAGCGTTGCTTTAGGGCCCAGAGGTCGGTCCTCTTACGCTAACCCTAAGGCTCAAAATAGCCCAAAAGCCTTATACAGTATGGTCTTTGGGCCCAAATAGCCTTAAACTATGAGTCCTTAGAGCCTAAAGGGTCAAGCTCTGAGGCCCAACGTTCAGCTGAAAGCCGAGAGCGGCGCGAAGGGTTGAGGGTTTAGGGATCTGGGATGATCTGGGCTTTGGGGGCCTCTAAATAAGGCCCCTGTATTGGACTCGAAAGAGCTCTACGTAGACGGTTGGCACTGGGGCTTGGAGAAGCTAGTGTTGTCCCATCAAACCTACCCGATTCAAACAAGTCAGGTGCTACGCCCAAACCCTAAAGTATTAAGCACAGGCTGATCCCCAATCCGAGCTCTCAGTGGCTGCAAAAGGCGTCGACCGGTGCTTCGGGCACATGAAGTACAGGGCTTTTTGGGGTTTAAGGTATGCTGGATGGTTTATAGTTCCCAAAGGATCCAGGCATAATTATGGTATATAAATAGAACCCCCAAAAATGCGCTATAAGTATATACCATAATGATACTTGGGCCCTTTGGGGTTTAATTCGGGGTCTACCTTACGGTTTTCCAGGGTTATTTGGTGGTGGCTGTCATGGTGGTGCTGGCAGCGGTGGCAGCTTCAGTGGTGGCCGGTAGCTGTAGCAGTGACGCTGGAATTTGATGGCTCTCTGCTATCTTTGATGATGGTGGTGATGTGCTGCGGTTACTGCCGTGGCTGATGGCTATCGCGATTTCCAGCATAGTGATGGTAGCCATGCTGATGAGGGCTCTCAGTGGGGATGCGACGGATAATGATTAGGCATGATTAGGCCTGTGATGTTGGTGATGATAAACGTCGCGGAAGATATAATTTGGTATGATAAGCGCCAGCAGACAGACTGCCAGCAGTGACGTTGAATGCTCATGGCAATGATTGTGAACAAGAAGAGTACGCGGAAACGGTTGACAGTGATGGCAATGTCCTGGTGGTTGTCATGGTTCTGGTCATGGGGACGTTGGCAATCCCGCTTTTGGCAAGTCTCTTTTGTGCTGTCGTTTATGATGGTGCGCTCAACACCGACGCGAGAACGTTGAACTCCCGTCCAAAGCAACAAACCCTAAACCCCTAAAGCGCAATTAACCCTCAACCCAAGAGACAAGTTCTGATCGCAGCCAGAAGCCCGAATGCACGCACTCCCAACAAGTGTATGGTGGCCCCGGGCGCGCCCTGCATTGCAACTCCGAAGGCAATTTTTCAAGAAGAGAAAAGCACTGTATCCCCTGAACCCTACAGTGTCCAACCTGGCCTTTTCCGCAAAAGTAAACCCAGCCAAGGAGTCCAACTGCTCGTGAAGTTGCCATGAAAGCCGCTGGCGGCTTCATGACAGGCACGCTTTGGGTTTGGGGTTTGGGATTGGTCGTTTTTTGGGCTTGGGTCGACTTGTTCAAGGGCTTTATATAAACTTCTGCCATGCCTGTTTCCAGGATTAGGGGATGCAGCAAGGGTTTAGGGTTTAGGATTAGACAAAGAGCCCAGCTGCACGGGGTGTCTAATCCTATATTACTAAAGCTCGGCTTTCTGCAGTCCGGGTTTGCCTAGGATACCTTGAGTCTCGGACCGTCATTGCAGTTTCTGCTTTGCCACCTCTGCTCAAGGGCTTAGGGTCTTCAGGGGTCCATAGGCCAAGGCTATAGGCGTTGAGGGCTTAGGGTCGACTCCTCTCCTTGCTTTGAAGAAGCGGGGGAAATGGGGGGCTCTTGCTGTAACCGGGCTGCTGGACAACGAGGCCTGCTGCAAAAAGGGTTCCTGTCAGGTTTTCACGGATAGGCTCAGGCTACGAGGTTTCGGGGTCTTATCACAGGAGTCCATGAGGCTGCAAGGGTGCATAAGCCGTGGTAGGGAGGGCTCTGAGCAGGAAAATCCAAAGCGAAGGGGTTGAGGGTATAAGATTTTGGCAATTTCCGGTTCATGGCTCCCACTTGACAGCTGTTCGTTCCCTCTTACCCTACAGGGTCCAAGTACTAGTATGTAGTATACACGTTGGGGCGCAAATATCTACTAAGTACCTGGACCTACTATCATGGTACTTGGACCCTGTTGGATATATGCAGCTCAGAAGTTACCCTAAGGCCCCATTGTGGTTCCTTTTTGGGATTGCCTCATAAGCTTTTGAATATGAACCCCAAAAAGGAATTATGATGGGGCCTTAGGGTAGCTTCAGCAACATTTGTTCAGGCGGTGCAAGTTCCCCGGAGGACCGGAGCTTCCGGCCCCAACTGGTTCCCTTTGGGCTTAGTAGCTGAGTGGATGCACTTTACACCTTTTTTGGGGTAGTACTATCCACTATAAAACTAAAAGTGTACACTTCTTGGGGCTCATGAACTCAGCAACTAAGTTGGATTCCGTTAGTCACACCCAGTAGAACTGTAGGAAAGAGGGTGGGCCCTTATTGCTAAGGGGCTGCTGGTGAACCTAGTGGGGATTGCTCAGAGCGGCTTCTGCGCACACGTCGTATTGACACCAGGATATGCGTTTAAGTCTGCTACTACAGATGCCAAGCGCTCTCTGGAGGTCTTTCCGCACGATTGTGACTCGAGTACAGTGGGTGGACGCCGTTGCAAGCGAAAGAGCTTCTAGTGGAAGACTAAGATGCCCACAAGCCTTGTTTCTTGAGGCGGCTTTCGGTGGGTATGTGATCTATGCTGCAGTGCTACAGATTTTCGAAGATGCAGGATCTGGTAGTGCAGGTGATATACTTGCTTGCATGTACAGCTAGCATACGGAAATTTCCGCAGCACAGTGTACCATGAGTCTAAGTCGGATAAGTAGGTTCCCAGACGAAGGGACGGGGCTGTGCTGAAGAAGCGTTCTCACGAAGAGAGGCAAGCGAATGAGTCGTGTCTGGCTGGTAGAGCATAGCTTAAGTTTCATGGTCGATTACGCATTTATTTCACACTTCATATTCATTTGGAGCATCGGCTTTTCCGAAATGGAAATAGACTAGAGTCCTAAACTTCGTGTATAAAACGAACATGTTCAGGCTCGCCATAAATTCTGCCACATCGGAGTCGTATCGTCAACAACAGCAGCGGCAGCAACAACAACGTTCATGCCAACATCACCATCAACAACAACTTGGACATCATGCCGAGTATTCTCAGAAGTTGATCGCCGCCAAAGGCCGTCCCTGAACTTAGACATAGATGGAAGCATCTCGGGCGAGCTTCACCATGACTTCGGATTTCGAGTAGAAGACTGGATGTACTCGTAAACTGCACGGGAGATGCGGATTTCTGACATGTTATCACGGCTCGGTTGCACAGTCAAAAATCGCCAACGGGACACATGTGCCTGCAAGTTGAGGTTGGGATCCTAACTCACAGCTCTTGGCACCCCTTCCTTTATTACAGGGCTGTTATAAGGGGTAGTTACTATATTGGGAACTAAAGGGTTCCTCCAAGGGGGATAGTCCTTAAACCCCAAACAGCCCTGTGCCGACAGCCTAGTTGGCGTGGCCTTGTAGCTTACCTTTGGTTAGTAGGGAATGGAAGAATGGTAGTAATAGTAGTCATGATTGTGCCCCATTCCTCCATGTCCTACTAGCCAAAGCTAAGTATAGGGGCCTAAATGATTGCTTGTACTGTTTTTTGTTTTATTGAGACGGGTCCTTATTACAACTATAGTATGAATAAACCCTAAGCCCGATTCTAAAGCGCGGTGTCATATTGCTGCTGGCTGTGGGATGCTTTCAGAATTTCTCCTTGCTGAGCCTTCACTATGCGGCTGCCCTAAAGATGATGAATGCTCGTATTGCAGTAAACCCAGCTTCTGTGTTGTTCCATGCTTCTCGTCGCTACGATCAGATCAGTGCGTCATCCCCGCCGCTCTACTAGCAGCTGTGGTGGTGAGAGTAGTAAACGAGTGTGGTTGCAGTGGTTGACGTAGTAGCAGTAGGAGGAGTAGTAGTAGCAGCAGCAGGAGTAATAGTAGTAATTAGTAGTCGTAGTCGTAGTTAGTAGCAGTCACAGCAGAGGGAGAGTAGTAGTAGTCGGTGCAGAAGCCGCAGTCGCCATCGTAACAGTGACGGTCGTAGGCACTTCCAGCAGCGGAAGCACCAGCAAGAGTAGTACGAGTATTGACACCACATGCAATCATGCAAAGGCAACTTTTCGTCGCCGAATTAGTTTGTATTGTATGTTATGTATCATTTGTTTGAATTAGTTAGATATTGCATACTCTATATCATAATATATATATATGTGTGTGTGTGTGTGTAGATATATGCATTTATAGCACATGGGTTTATGTTTCACATTGTACTACAGTTTTGCATTTTGAATATTGCTTGGTTATGTACCATATCACAGCATTTCATAAAGTAGTAAACTGTTCATATCATACTGAACTATACGTTACCATACCATACTATATACGACATTGCCATATGTTATGCTGTCTTTTACCATGCCAACCAGGAGGTAAAAACAGTGCATGGTATGGGTTTTGTTACATGGCATTGTTCGCACATATGTACACGTGTATATATATATATATATATATATGTGTGTGTGTGTGTGTCTTTGTATATGTATATGAAGACATTGTATATTTGTCCTTACATGTGTTTAGCTATATTTATACATATATATATATATATATACATGTATACATGTATACATATATACACATACTCACATATTCATACATGTGCACATGTATACATACATAAACATCTACATATGCGTACATGTATGGACATCGACATATACATGCATATATATATATATATATATATATATATATATTCATTTCACAGATGTATATATATATATATATATATATACATATATATATATATGTATATATATATATATATAGGTATAATGGGTATGGGAGCTTTCACAAGCCGACCTGGAGACTCAGCCGGCAGGAGCTTCTCAAGAGCAGCTGCGTTGTGCGGAGCTGGATCTAGCCTAGACGCAGCCAGGGTTTAGGATTATGGTTGAAGGCTTAGGGTTTAGGATTATGGTTTAGGGTTTAGGGTTATGGTTTAGGGTTTAGGATTATGGTTTAGGGTTTACGGTAGTTTGTGAAACTCATAGTGTATCGATGTTGCACAGCAGGTTGATAGGATGCTCCCCCTCCGCCAACAAACCAATCCTTGCTACAGCCGCAATGTGCGTGTAGACGCGACCCTCGAAACTGACAGAGACAGAGTTGCCGCTTCGGGCGAACCGAGGCTTTAAGTTGACTTTATCAGCCCCAGACCCCAAATACATACAACACGCGAAACAACACGTGTAGCCTGAGCCGTAACCTGCTGAGAGTTTTTGCTGCGTGGTTTCGCATGATTAGATTGGACATGTCACGGCATGTACTTTTGATCTGTGGTTTCCAGAAGGGTCGGGGCATGCAGGGGTTTGTTGTGTTGGGTCGGTGCTGCCATTGTCGCTTACGTTTTACATGTTTCTTTCTGTGGTAAGCCTTCGAGAATGGCTTCAGCTCTGCATGCAACGGACGAGAACGGGCGTACCGAAAACCGGATTTTGCCGAGAACGGGAGACATGGGGGAGGGGGAGAGCGCGAGAGAGAGAGAGAGAGAGTACGAGAAAGAGCGACATGCATGTAGCGTCCCCTAAGAGCAAGAATGCCTTAAGTGCCCGAGCGGAAGTAGCATTCAGGACCAAGAACGCAATGGCGTGGAATGATTCTTCGACCTAACGGATTCGTGGAGTGGAGTGTTATGGCTATGGGCTCAGTTACCGGGGGCGAGGTGTTTTGATGGCCTTCAGGGCATTGGGCGTAACTTTCAGTGTTTACGGGTTTACGGAAGCTTGCGAACTCCGCGCACGAGGGTTCCTCAAAACTCTGAACCCAAAGCACAGCCTTGGGGGCCTAAGGCCCTGAGCTCGAAAGAGTTCGTTTCAGGACCATGTGGAACCCAAAGACTCCATGTACCCATATAGTAGATACTTAGGCCTTAAAGTACCTAGATAGGGACCCCTTTAAGGCTTAAGTATCTACTATAAAGGTACATGGAGCCTTTGGGGAAGAGGAGTGCGTTGTGGAGAGGACCATAATTATCATTCGCAGATTGGCTCATCTCAGAAGTCAGAGATCCTGGCCTACAACCTTGCCTATAGTCTCCATTGTAGTTCCTTTTTGAGGTTACCTTTTTGGATCCTTAATATAAAATTGGTTAAGTTAAACCAAAAAAAGGAACTACAATGGATACTATAGGTAAACCCTAAATGGCCCTAAGTTCGAACCATCAACCACACAGCCGTGAAGTGTTAAGTGTAAGCCAAAACCCCCTGACAAACCCAGCCAAGCTCATCCTTCAGGCGTAGACCTTGCAAGAGA